TTTCCCAGGAATAAATTCCAATATTATCAAGATAATCATGGATTTACATTTGGGAAAGAGGCTTTTGACAATTCACCCACCCAGAACCCAAGTTCAGATTCTGCCAATAGACCCAGCGGGACCAGGGATCATGGGAACGTGCATGTCTTGCTCCAGCTCTGACTACTCAAGTCTGAATCTGCACGCTGCTCTGCAGGCGCGTGTGGAGCCTCGGATGCTGTGTGGCCACGTGGAGGGATGGAATCAAGGCTTCTTGTTTGTTGCTTTATAAAGTATGTTTCACCTTAATAATCAGCAGGGAAGATAATGAAATTACAAGAGGTCTAAGCAGTGGAGTCCAGCTGGTGACCTATGAAGAGTCACAGAAAACTGCCCAAGCCAGCACAGGCCAAGGGACTGGTGAAGCAGCCAAAGGCTAGGGACTTCACCCCACTCAAGACTGGGGATTCTCCTCTCCCCTCCACCAGGGCTTCAAGTGCACTACCCTTTATACACAGATCTGGACTACTCCTTTCCCCATTGGAAAATTCAAGACGTGTACTTTAGCTGGGCGCGGTGGCACACGCCTGCAGTGCCAGCTACTCAGGAGGTTGAAGAGGGAGGACCCTCTGGAACCCAAGAGTTTAAGACCAGCCTGAGCAACAGAGAACACTCCGTCTCAAAACAAAATCACCAAAATACAAAACAAAACAAAAAAAAAACTCTTGGATTTGGAGGGTCTGGATGCACAGTCTTTTAAGGCTGATGACCCTCCAGCTTTCCCCTCTCAGCCCAGGTTAACACAAATGCTAAAAGCTAATGGTGGCCTCTTGTCTTTGAGCTCAATGGCAATGCTATTAGAGTATGCCGCTCTGACAGTGCACAAAGAATGCATTTTTCCAAAATTTTATATCTGGTCAAAAGCACGCATGCACTGTAGCTAACTAAGTTACTACACACAGACACACAGACACACACACACACACACACACACACATGATTTTCAAAGAAATCCAAACCTGAGTCTTTAAATTAACCCCTTCTCTCTCTCCTGCTGTTAACTTTTCTATTCAGTGGCTCTCAAACTTGGGAACCTCCCCCCCCCCATTTCTGGTATAGTGTGCAGTGCAAATTATAAAATCAATGCCCGTATCACCTTCAATTCCAGTGAAATAAGATGCCATCACATTGCCTGTCAGTCTTAGAGACCTAACAGAGTAACTTTCAGTGCATGGGGTCATACCCCGAGGAACAGATGCATTTACCTATGTCAGCAATGTGCCTGGTCACGCTACACACAGTAACTGATTCTTCTAAGTCAAGTTTAAGGCTACTCCTACCCTTTAACTGCTCTTTATAAATACAACTAACAGAAAAGGCTCAACCTTGATGAGCTATATCAAAAGGGAAGGTATTGTATTTTCCCTTAAGCTCTTGCATCTAAAAAAATCTCAGTACAATCATAACAGTTCGTTCTGACATGATATCCACTGTTTCATCACTCGACAGGCAGAGGCAGGGAGGTAGACTGAAAAATAAACCAGGATTCACTTGAACTTCATAGGACCTTGAACAGCTAGTGTCCTGTTTTAGTGGTTTCTGAAAACTGAACTGTAAAATACAGTTTGAGAAAGGCAGGCCACCAATACGTTTTCTTCCTGTAGAAAGAATTACTGAAGCAATCCCTGATAGAATGTTACCACCCAGGAGTATTTCCCAAACTCGACTCCAGCACACAGAAATGGAGGGAAGAATTTTCCTACCAGGATCTGTCTCACTCTGTATACAGAAGTGGGGATTATTTCTCCTATTATTTTAAAGCCAGAAGGGCAATGCAAATAGTAAGGATTAGAGAGAGAGAGAGAGAGAGAGAGAGAGAGAGAGAGAGAGAGAACAGGTGGGGGAGAAAGAGAGGAGGAAATAACAGAAAGAGCAAGGGGGAAGGAGAGGCGAGAAGGGGGCAGGAGAGAGGAGAATACGAATTCACGAGATGCAGAGTCCCCAAAGTACTCTTGGCGACATGGACCCAGCACTCTTTACTATCATATCAGATACAGACTGCTTAATCTTAATTTTGCTTGTTAAAAAATATTTATCCAGATACAAAAATAAACCCACTGCAAATTACAAGTTGTCAGGGTTAAAAATCTACTTCTGTTTGTGTGGGGGAGGATAAGAGACCAGCATAGACATGAATCATTCTCAGTAATTTGAGTGTTTCCATGACATCAATGGGCACCCGTCCAGGACTCTGTCGAAGTCTGCGAGGTACCAAAGAGGCAGCGTAGCCAGCAGGAGGCTGGGAGGTGGACTTGTTTTTTTTTTTTTTTTCCAAGGATTATGCTCCTTGTGAAGATTTCATCTGTAGCATCCACTTTTACCATCAAATAGATTGCTCCGGAGATCATGAGCGAACACATTTCATTCTGATAGTGTAAGCCTTTAACTTTATTACAGCTTTTTGTTCCCAAATTCAACTATAAATCTGCCCTCAGAGCCCAAAACCCTGTTTGGGAGCAAAATAATCAGGGATGGTGGATAAAGCCCAAGAACCTTCTCAAACATAAGATTTTTATTCCTATCATTTTTTAAAAAAAATGATAAAAAGCAGCCATTTTAAAATGACACCTCCTTTTCCAGGAATTTTTTTTTTTTTTTTGTAAAAAAAAAAAAATCTTTTGTGCAAATTGTCCACTGAAAATGGGCTAGGGTCTTAATGTTGATTTTTTTTCCTGCTAAAAATTCACTGAAACGTTTGTTTCAGATGATAACATTTTCAAGAGGGCTGATAACATGTTTGAGTTGGACCCTTAAGGAACTATCTGTTCTCCTGAACACAAAAGCCCCACATTTCTGTGTCTCCTTCCATGTGAGCCTTGGATTTTTGTCAGTCATACCAACTGGCTGGCGCGGACAGCCTCCGTCCTCCTTTCTCCATTCTTCGCCACCCACCTCCCCCCATCCCCACTACCACAACGGGCGCTTTGAAAGAGCTAAAGATCCTGTTTTCCCAATATTTAAAAGAGATAGCAGTGATGAACAAACCCGGCGCGTTCACTGCGGAATTTTCGAGACAACCCTCCAGTACTAGAATGCGACAGCCGCTGCGGATATTTTTTGGCACAAAGACAATGGTGGCAGTGCCAAGCCCTATGGCTAAAACTACTCAAAAGAGGCATAAGGGGAGCATTAATCGCTCAAGTCTTTTACTGCATGGAGTACCGTTGTCCATATTTTAAAAACTAAAAGTACCCGTTAGTAACATTTGTCGTATGCCCATAAATGGGGTGGGGTGGGGTGGGGGGAAACTCCTGAAATCTATACCAGAAACAAACCTTGTCAGGCTTTTGATTCATTTTTATACCTAAAAAGGACCAAATGTTCAATTCTGCTGCTGGTGACGATGCCGGTGCACGAAACGAATGATATGACCTAATGAAGTACACTGAAGGCTGAATGAAAGCTACAGAGGGGATTTCATAAGCTCAGTCGACATATTGGCTAAACAACTTTCTTCTGCAAAAATGATGTATACAAGGAACATGTAATACTATGTCACAATTTTTTAAATGAAACAAGAAAAACGCTGTAAGTGAGCAGACACAACATCCGTCAATCAATCCTTCTGGAGACAAAAGAGATCAGCACGCAGCCCCTTCTCTAGAACACGTCGGCATCTACAGGGAGCGAGCCATCCAGAAAGCCACCATGGGTTCTGTCCAGACGGACCCATCCTCCTGCTAAAAATCCATCTTTAAATGTGGTTATCCAAAAATGGCACCAGATGATAATCGACGAAGGATTCACTTGCTGCTTCTGTTGCCCATGAAAAACTAATTTAAGCAGAAAATATACAAGCAACTTACAATTCTTAAGGCCGATGTGTTTTGCTGATCTATTCGATAACCTTTTATCAGGCTGTCCCAAGAAGCAGAAGGAAAACTTGTTTTTTTTTTTTTTAATATGGGGGAGGTATGGCTAACAAATATCTACAGAATGCAAATTCGATACTTTTGTATTCCTAATTCCTATATTATCTGCCATTTGACGTCCAATTTTACTTCCAAGATAGCCAAGGCATCCTACTGCAAGGGAACAGGTGACATGGAAATACTGCATGAAGGAAAGAATGGCCTCAAAACTCCATTCCATTCACAGGGATGCCGCCAAAAAAAAAAATCACCTTGAGTAGGTGACTGTCTCTGGACACACGGGGTAGTTCGAAGTGACATGAAAGAGCCAGAGACGGGGTCAAGAGCAAGTTTTCAATAAATGATTTCTGGAGATAAGCCTGGACATCGAGGATCTCTCTGGTGGTTGCCCAGTAGGATAGTAAACAGGTCCTGTTTGTAAAAGGCCAGTGTCAGGATGACATATAAA